GTATCCCCTCAATTTTCAATTCTTGGCCACCACAGAAAGAGTTGCTATAAATATTTTTGTACATGTAGGTCCCTTTCCCACTTTCATTATCTCTTTGGGATACAGCCCTAGAAGTTCTATTGCTGGGTCAAAGGGTATGCACATTTTTATAGCCCTTTGGGCATAGTTCCAAATTTCTCTCTAAAGCGGTTGGATCAGTTCACCAACAATGCATTAGTGTTCCAATTTTCCCACATCTTCTCCAACATTTATCATTTTCCTGTTTTGTCATGTTGGTCAATCTGATAGGTGTAATGTGGCACTTCAGAGATGTTTTTATCTGCATTTCTCTGATCAGTAATGATTTAGAGCATTTTTTTTCATATGACTAGAGATGGTTTTAATTTCTTCATCTGAAGACCTTTGTATTCTTGAAGGCAGCTGTCATGTTCCCTCTCAGTCTTCTCTTCAGGCTAATTATCCCACTTCCCTCCACTTATCTTTTGTCATGGAGTCAAAGCCCTCCACCATCCTAGCTGCCTTTCTCTGGGCACTCTCCAGCTTATCAGTGTCCTTCTTAGATCATAGCACCCAATACTTGTGAGTAATTCAGATGTGCTCTGACTAGGGGAATGGGACCACCTCCTTATTCTGGGAAGCTATGACCCTCTAAATGCAGATTAAGGTTACATTCACTTTTTTGCCTACTACATCCCACTCCTGAGTTGTTTTGAACTTGCAGCCTCCAGGTCTTTTTCAGAGCTGTGAATAATCCGGTATTTCCCCCATGTCATGTGGGTGAAGTTGACTGTTTGTATCTGAGTGTGTCCTCTTTGAGAACAAAAGACAAACATTAACAACAATGTGAGTGCCAGATTTTCCCATTTTGAATATCATCTTGTTGAATTCAGCCCATTGCTGTAGACTGATAAGAACGGTGTGGATCCTGACTCCATCAGCCAGTGTTATCTATTCTTAGCCTTGTGTCATCTGCAGAATTGATGTGCACGCTATCTATGTCTTTATGCAAGTCATTAATCATAACGGCACAGAGCTGAGCACAGGGCCTTGGGTACCACACTGGGCAATATCCTGCCACGTTGATGTGAAACCATGAATAACTTCTCTTTGGATTCAGACCATTCAACCAGTTCTGAATCCATTTGATTGTTATTAATCTATATTTTCCCCTCTTCTCCATAAAAAGAATAAGAGATACTGTGACAAAAACTTCACTGAAAACATAAACTATATCCTCAGCATTCTTTTTACCTGTTTGCTTAGCAATCTTGTCAAATAAAAAAAAAGGGGGGGGGCAGCTAGGTGGTGCAGTGGATAGAGCTCTGGCCCTGGAGTCAGGAGGACCTGAGTTCAAATCTGATCTCAGACCAGACACTTGACACTTCCTAGTCACTTAAGCCCATTGTCTAGCAAAAAACAAAAAAAGAAACAAACAAAAAGGAAATGAAGTTAATCCAGCATGATGTGTTCTTGTTGAAGCCATGCTGACTCTGTGTTCATTCCTTCCCTTTCTGCATGATCGCTACCCACCTCTTTAATGATCCATTCTAGAATTTTCTCAACAATCAAAATGGAGCTGACTGGCAATAAATCGTTTTCAGACTCTGCTCTCTTATTGTTCAGGAAATGTGAGAAAGCATTTGCCTCTTCAGTATTGTGGCACTTCTCTCATTTTCCATGATCTTTCAAATATCTCTGACAGTAATTAGCAATTACATCTGTAGTTTTTCCCAGCCAAATGACTTGAATTAATGAAGAGTGGCTGGATGCCCCATTATTGTCTACTTACTTGTCTTGGGCATCCACTCTGAAGCATTTCTGTTCTGAAATTTCAAGTACAGATGTCACTCTTCTTTAAAGAGAAAACAAAATAAAAATAAAAATCGAGGTCTTCACTGTGTTGTCAGTTATCATCCCTTCTCTTCTTTGGGCTTTCTTTTTTCCCAACATGACTTAACATCAACAACAAAATTATCCTTGCTGTCATCCTCAGTCTTCCTTACCAGCCACTGCTTATTCTGAGTTTTAACGTTCCTGATACAAGTTTTCTAAGACCATACAATACTCGTATATTGATTCTTTCCCATCTGGTCTTGCTTCTGTTGTGCATACATTTCTTTTTTTTCAGTCAAACCTGGTTGGTGAGTTTGCCATGGACCATGTCTGTCTGGACAAAATATTATTTTTCTATTTGATTGGAATTTTTTCTTTCTCTCTTCATCGCTGAGCTTCTCCCATCCCTTTTGGCTGACCTCCCCCAAATGCATTTTATTCCATAGGACTGCACCTCTGAACCTTTTCTCTGAACCATTTCAAATTTGCTTCCTCAAAATCTAGAGTATAGTCAGATTATTTTCTTTTTGTACTTTGAGGTTTAAGTAAAAGATTTTATAACATCAAGGTATACGTTCTCCTATGTTGTTATTGGATATTAAAATATATTTTCAATTAGCAAAGATTCTGATCAATTTAATATGAAATATACATTACAATATCAAAATTATAGCTTAAGCACTTTTCTTTCATCACATTTAAAATCATTCCAAGGTCCATGTGCAACTTTACATTCTGAGAAAAAACTTTTTGAAATATAATTTTTTACACTTGAATGAAAAATCATATTTTCTATATCTCAACAGCATAGGATACGATCAAACGTACCTCCAGCGATCAAATGTACCTGAATTACATTAGGAAGAATTTATAGCGTTTGTCTTTCAGACAAACGAAGGGGAGTGAAAGAGTTTTATTTTTAAGAGTCACTTAATCACCTTAGGTTTTTGCCTTTTTTGGATGAATCTTTTAACAGGTTAAAAACACCCCACAATTTTTAGAAAAACATTTTCTCTGATCTAGGGAAAGAATAAAGAAATAAATATATGTTTATCACTTAATAGGTAAGTAAACTCTTGTATTTTATAATTTCTACTTGAGTGATATTGATGCATCAGAAAAGGATGTTAGAATTGAGAAGACATTTTTAATTATTCCTCCCTCCCATCTTGTTAAAAACCAAAAATCCATGGTAAAATTATGAGGTTGTGATATAAAACATATTTAATATAATACATTTTGTAAATCTGAGTACCTTTTAATTTGCCTGAGGCTATTTTCTCCTCAAAGAATAGCTATTATCAAATGCTATAATCTTACCTCTCTGATTTTCAAAGTAACAATACCTCAGAAAAGCAAGAGAAGATGGATACACCCCCTCCCTTCTTTCGGAATTCTTCTTTCCCTCATTGTAGATGTGGTGGGTTATATTTGTGGAATGTGACTTACACTGTCTGAGTCAATAAAGGTGTTAATTAGATTTCTTGAACCGCTTTCTCTTTTTATTCCTTGTTATAAGGAATGCTTCTTTGTATAGGGAAGGGGAAAATAGATATTTGTGCAGTAAAAAGCAATGTAAAAACAAACATATCAATAATATTTGAAAATACAACCTAGAATTTTGTGTGATAATAAAAGCACTCACTGAGCCTATGAGAAGAGTTAGATGGCACAGTCCACAGAGTGGAGTCAGCAGGACTAAGTTCAAATTTGGCCTTAAAACTTTCTTAGCTCTGTGACTCAGGGTAAGTCATTTAACCTTGTTTAAAGCTCAGTTTCCTCACCTCTAAATTGAGCCAGAGAAGGCAATGGCAAACCACTCCAGCACCTTTCCCAAGAAAACCCCAAATGGGGTCAGGAAGAATTGAACAGGACTGAACAGCACAGCACCTACAATTTCCTGATCCTGTTCTCTGCTGCTTTTTGAAAAATTGGACATTCCCGTTTCTCCTGTTGTTCCTCTCCCATTATTCATGATCTTGCAGTATCACAGTCACAGGCTCGGCAACCACATCTGTCAGTTCTGTCAGGAGTAAGGGAGAAAGGAGGGGCAGCCACGTGGTGCAGTGGGCCAGTGACATCCCAGGGCGAGGACTTGACTTCTCAGTGAATTGGCTTTAAGCGAGGCAGAGCCGTGCAAAGGCACCAGCCGCACTCTCACCTCCACATTCACCAGAGTCCAGTGGCAAGACATAGGTCAGGCCAGCTGGTGATGGCTCCTGATGCAGTGGGAGACCTTGGCCTTTCCCGGGTCTCAGTTCATCTGAGGTAACACCCATTCAGTAATTAAAGGCTAGGCTAGTAACTGAGGCAAAAGATGGACTAGTTTGTCTTCACAAGAGTCAGTCTGGGACGGAAAGACCCTCATTGCCTCACAGAGTTCTGGGTATGGTGTAAGGAAGACTTGAGTTCAAATCCAAGTTCAGTCACTTGCTAGCTGTGTGACCCTGGACAAGTCACTTCACCCTAGTTTCCACATCTACAAAATGGGGGCTATAACAGCCCCTGCTTCCCAGGGTTGGTGTGAGGACCAGGTGAGAGAGTCATTGTACAGTACTTAGCAGTGCCTGGAAGACAGTAAGCTCCGCGTAAAAGTCAGCTCTTAGTTTTATTTAGTCCATCTACCAAAGGATTGGCATTCATGAGGTAAGGGGAGGAGCAGAGGGGTCGGGTTTCCCGGCAGGAACGGCGGGGTAGGCAGGGAGGCAGGACTGCATTCCAGACCGGGGGAGGGGCCCGGCCCCAGGCATGCGCAGAGGGCTCCTCAGCCTCCAGACTACGATTCCCAGAAGGCCGTGCTCGCCTCGGGGGCATTTTCGAAAGAGAGAGGGCCGTCCCCTCACGTCACTTCCGCCACTCCTCTTTCAGCCTCTTTCTTGGTTATTTGTGGCTCTCTTCTTCCCTTCTCTGTCCTGAGCTGAAGTGTGACAGGGTGAGCGGGGGCCGAGAGCGGGGCAGGCCCAGGCGGAGTCGGTGCGGTGGTGCGGCGGGGTCGGGGCATCGGGGCACCGGGGGCTGGCTGGGGAGCACCCGGAGAATGGGAGGAGCTTCCGGCAGAGGAGGAAGAAAGCCCCCGAGGGCCTCTCAGGGGTCTGGGGGCGGCCCGTGCGGGGTGGGGGGGAGGGCGGGGGTTGGAGGCCGAGCAGACGGAGGCGAAGCCTGGGGGCGGGTTCTAATCATCCTTCAGTCACGCCCACATCCCGAGTTCCAAGTCGGGGCCTGCCCCTCCAGGCCTCAGGCCTTGCCCAGGGCCCAGAGTCCCAGGGAACGTGCCCCCGGTATGTATCTGTCTGGTCCTCGCTGCGGCCTTCCCTTGGCCTCATCTCCTCCTCCCAGCATCCTCCTGGGTAGCCCCTGCTCGGGGAAGCCTTCCCTGATGCTGCCGGGGACCCGTGCCCTCCTCCTGCTAAAACAGTCACCTGTCTGTTCTCCAGTTTGTTTCTAAAGAGATGCTGGCCCCAAGACAGGCCGCCCCCCCTCCCAGAGGAATGACCGCTTCCTTCTGGCCCCCTCCCCCCCAGCCCCTGTCCCCCCCTCCCTGATCTACCCGCGGTGGAGAAGTGGGAATGTCTGGTCTGAGCAGGGTAGACCCCCGGCGTGACCCCTCACTCTCCTGCTTCTCCTTTCCTCCCCAGCTCTACCTTCTGTGGCCTCTGCTGTGCCCCAGGAGGACACCCTGGAGGAAGAGGGAATGGCTCCTGCCCTGACAGCCAGGCCAGGAAAGGTAAGTGCCACTTGCTGCTTTCCTCAAATAGCATCTCAGGCCAGAGACCTTGGGATAGGTGTCTTTGTGCTGTGCTGTAACACTAGGAATTGTGGGCATCAGAGAATCATGTATTTATAGCTAAAATATACCACAGACACCAGTTTATCTTTTCCCTACACGAAAAAACCCCTAATTACATTTACTTTTTGTTTTGTTTTAATTTTGTGTTCTAAATTCTTTAGCTCCTTCCAATTCTTCCCCCACCCATTGAGAAGGCAAACAACATTAGGAGACCCATTATGCCCGGGAAGGAATGCAGAACAGTTCCATATTAACCCTGGTCCAAAAAAAAAGAAAGTGAAAAAAAATCTGCTTCAATCTTCACTCAAAGTTCATCAATTCTCTCTTCATTTTTTATAATTAGTCCTTTGGAATTTTCATGGATCATTGTATTCATCAGAGTAGCTGAGTCTTTCACAGTTGATCATTACTGCTACTGCGCCCAATTTTTTAGGTCTTCTCACTTTTCATATTTATTCATTTTATTTTTAATTTATGGAATAAAACAAGCATTTTCATAACATAATAAAAAGATAATTGCATATGAAACTTGCTATTCCTTTTGTTAACCTGAAATTTGGTTAAAGAGTCAACAAGCTAGGTGATAAGTAAATTCATATTGTTTATTCCCTTAAGTTAGCGACATGTACGGGGAGCCGGAGCTTTAACTCTGACTGACTTAAGCAATTTGAAATAGACAATTTATATTCTTAGAGCAATCCTGACTCAAGATGTCTGTCACTCAAAAAACAAAAATATAGCCTGTATATGTTTTTAACATATAGCATGAGAAAGGAAGTTTCTTAGTTGAATGGGTTGTAAATACAATAAGACAAGAGAAGTGACAATGTGTCAGTTGAAATAATAGTCCCAGGATATCTGTGTTTCCCCTACATAACATATGTACATAGGATACCAAGATAAGAAAAGTCCCACTATTCAAGGCTGTATCTGGTCCCAGGCATCCTGTCCTTAGTGATGACAAACAGGAAGAATGCTAGTCAGTTTCATCTGATCTTATAGTTGCTGACACAGGAAGGAGCATTTTGGATTCATTCAGAGAGCAAAGTAATGCGTGTCTGCTAGGCCAGGATGCTTCTTCTGGTTGATTAGTTCAGGCTTTAGCCCTTATTGTGGTTCAAATGACCTTAAATGATTATCACTTCCTCCTGTCACATGTAGACCAAGAAAGGTATGGGAAAAACCTTCCTCTTCCTCAGGGGGTGGGAAGAGATGTCCACTTGGAGCAGGTGTCTTCAGATGATCCTGGAGTCCCCATCTAGAAGTTGGCAGCTGTGGGAGTAGTCAGATAGACCTGATAGGGCTCTTAGAAGACATATGAGTTGATGATTGAGAGAAAACAGCATGACAGAAGTCCCTAGTTAAAGGCATATAGAGATGGTTCAGTTTCCCAGCCGTACAGGGCTACATTCAAACAATACAACAAAGTTTTTCTCATAATTCACAAAATTGCATTAAGTCAGGTACAGATTAAACTACTTAGAGGGACAATAGGTTTTATTCTTAGGCAGTTCAGAAACGGAGTTCTGCTTCTCTGGTTTTGATGTAGAAATTCCCAGATAATTATGACTTATTATAAATTAGTACCGTCACTTAAATTTGGTTCTCTGGATTGATTGATTGATTTATTATTGTTTTTATTGGTGAGGCAGTTGGGGTTAAGTGACTTGCCCAGAGTCACACAGCTAGGAACTGTTATGTGTCTGAGGCCAGATTTGAACTCAGGTCCTCGTGACTCCAGGGCCGGTGCTCTATCCACTATGCCACCTAGCTGCCCCAGGTTCTCCATTTTTGAAGCTTCTGTTCTTACCAAAATCCTGTAACTTGTATAGGAATCTGTTAAAATGTGAAAGTTCAACCATAAAATGAGCTCTTCTGCCTTTTAAAATTATCAGACAGATACCTTAATAAAGGAAAAATAATTTCACTTTCTTTTACCATTATCATGTGCAATTTTTGTGTAAAAATCCAAATTTGAGATCATATTACCAAAATATGCTTAAAGCTTGGATTTCCATGATAGATACATTTTGGAAGCCGATCATATACATCTGTTTATAATTCTTAGAGGAATCAGACTAATGCTGTTGCCTTTCTCAAAAATTACTGTCCTATTTAATTAAATATCCATCACATTACATGTTTGTCGTTACTTTTTCTAATCATTGCCTCCTTAGGAGGATGTTATCCCTGTATTATTATTATTATTTGGCTGTGAATGTAAGTTAAAATTATAAGCTATTCATACTTGGATCGTATTATGGTAGCTCAGAGATGTTCCAGTGTCCATCTTTATTTAATAAGTTTAGTACTGTACTTACAGAACTTCTTGATTATAGAAATTTGCTATAAGAGAAAAAGAGGTACAATGTCATATGTCACATCAAAAGGAAAGAACTTTCTTATCTCTGTTTGATTCCAGGCATGAGTCGTATCTGATAGCCAGTCATGTAGTCACTTGATGTTAAAAGCAGGGCTCAGGATTAATCAGGTGGGGAATTTTTCTTTTCAGAAAGGAAATAGCACAATTGGGAAATAGAGTCAGGAAGATCCTACCTAGCCTGTGTCCAAGGTCGTCTTCAAAACTCTTCCCAGGCACAGACATCCGCCTTTAGCGGTTCTCAGCCTGCAGCACCTGCTGTTCTGTTATTGGCTTCATGACAACTCAGACAATTATCCTGGTAATCAAAGCTCAAAACAATAATAAATTTCTGTCCCATAAAGTCACATGTCCTAGATAATAAGAATTTGATCTCACATTGGTAACAGTAAGAGACTGATCACAGACAAATACTGCTGCTCTCATCATTCCGTTACACAATGGGAACATCTTGACGTGAGTCTTGAGCAGTTTGCATAAATCTCTGCACATGTTCTAATTCCAGATTAAAAATAATATCAGATTTCCCATTAAGATAACACAAAAGTTACTACTCATAAGTTACTACTGTCCACTAACAACTGTCTGTACTGGAATCCTATTTCTTAAATAAAACAAAGAGGTTCCTGACTTTAACCTCACGAGTTGATGGATTTGTGCCCTCGTTCCACCAGCTTGTTTACTCTTCTCTCATTATACTCACTCTGGAAGAATAAGACATGCCTCAGGATTTGAATCTTATATACACTAATTTAACTCTTGCTTAGGCCATGGAATAACTACAGATTCAGATCAAAACAGCAAGAACTCTTCTGCTTTACAACTAATTACATTAATTTAGCAATAAATTATCTTGCAAATGAAAATTTAGTGGGCCTTCAAAAAAAATCAAAATAAGAGATTGTTTTTTCCAAAACATTTCTTCTTAAAGTATTTCCCTTCTTTAAAAACAGTTTAAAATTTATCCTGATGTTAAGAAAAATAATCATGGAGCAGCTAGGTGGCATGGATAGAGCACTGGCCCTGAAGTCAGGAGGACCTGAGTTCAAATGTGGTCTCAGACACGTAACACTCCCAAGTTGTGTGACTCTAGGCAGGTCACTTAACCCCATTGCCTAGCAAAAAAAAAAAAAGAATAATCATTAAACTTCTATAGATGAAAATTAGTTGGAAACTTTTAAAATGATAGATATCTCTCTTTTCCACCTTTAAGCAAAAATAAACCTTTAAAATTGGAATTCATTAAAACTAAGTTGATATTAAAAAAAACAACTAAGTTGGTATAAATATCCTTAAGTAACATAAATAAATTCCCAAAGCATTATAACAAACTAAATTCCTACTTATTACAGAATTCCTAGATATCACAAAGTTCACTAGTCAAAAAGGTGTTTGTAATGGAGAAAAAATTCATTTTTTATAAACCAAGAAAAACATACTCAATTAAATTAGCCTTATTACAATAACAAATATTATCAAGCCTTTAAAAATTTACTCAGTATTTTTCTCTTTGTCTTTAAATATATCTCTAGAAATTAGGTAAAAGTGTTACCTAATTCTGGAATCTTACATTGATAGTGAATGTGGTAGTCCATAAATCTCCAAATTAACATATATAAATATATCCTTAGATGAAGCAGGCTTGAAAATCACACCCCTGTTTTTTTTCCAAGGATTTTTATTTACTCAGGAATTTCACAACACAGAAAACTTTGGCACAGAGGTGATAACAATTTTAGGTGAAACTTCCTTTTACATATAGACAAAACTTGGAAGTTTATTCTAACCCATTCATCCTCCCCTATTTGGGAGGGGGGGAGGTAACAATTCTTCATCTAACGTCTGTAGATGAAAATTACTTTTTCAACAACATAGCTGATACAATTTGTTTAACAGATTACACCACATACAAAAATTTAGAAATATAACCATACCATAAGCAATCATCATGTATTTAAAACTTGAAACAGAACCAATTAATTACCATCAAGTGACCTTAATTTAGTTGGATGAGTAAATCAAATCTGGATTCATAATCACAAATGGTAATGTGTGCTACAGCTACCCAAAAATAACACTCAGAGATTTTCTAGGTATAAAGTGAAAGATTTATTATGTTCTTGTGAGAAGTGGGAGTCTGCTTAGTTAGCAGTCTGAGGGAAGGGAGGCAAGGCACAAAGGCCAGGACAAAGGTTATATAGCCCTAACACAGAGATATCCACCCACCACTGGCTTTGAATTCCCATTGGGCAGGAATTTCAGCCTTACAATCTAAAACGCGAAAATCTACCCCAGAAACAAGGAATCTCATTATACTTCTACCAATCCTAGCTATTTTATCCTTTTTAGTAATTAGCCATTACCTAATGCTGATATAACTAGGAACCTGAAACTTAGGCCTCTATTCAGGCTAGTGTAACCAACCTTGAGTTTGTAACAGTCTAAGAAATTGCTACACTCAGTCCATCTGAGAGATCTCACATTGTTTACCTTGTTTTACTCAGTTAAAAAAAACCAGAGTCTTGACAAAAGTTTGCAAAAGGAGAGATCTCTCCAT